TAAACTCTTGCTCCTGCAAAAACGTGTCCACCTCGTGCACTCGGTGGAAGAAGGTTCGGACGCGGGTCTCCGCGTCCAAGCTGTCGCCGTATAGCTGGCGCAAGCACTTTGGCAGCCGCGGGCGAGGCAAGTCGTCGCCGAGCGCGCACTCCTCGACATGCAGCTTGGGCTCGTGCGGAGCCTTGCGCGCCGCCCTCTCTGCCGGGCATAGGCAAGAAGCTGCTGCCTGCTGCACCTGCGCCGCCATCTCTGCTGACAACTTCGGCAGCACGCGAGACACGAACTCGTGGCCGAACCTCCAGTCCTTGTCGCGGCCGCGACGGGCAGCGCGAAACAGCGCGCCAAGAGAAGATTCTTTCTCTTGCAGGAATTCTGCGCGGCGGCTCGCCAGCAGGGCAACAAATCGGTCCACTTGCCGCTGCAGCGCCGGCCGAAACGCCAAGCGCTCGCCCTCGCCGGGCTCGCAAAGCATGGCCTCCCACTCGGCCAGCTCGTCCTTCTGCCCCTGTGAAAGCTTTGGGTAGCAGCGAAGCATGAAATTTTGGCCGAACTTGAGTTCCTTCTCATTTTTCACGGCGTGCGCTTCAAACAAAGATTTAAGCGAAGGCTTCTGCAAGCTCTGGAAGTACTCGGCTCGTTCTTCGAGCAGAGCGATAAACTTTTCCAGCTGTCGCTGCAGCGCCGGCCGAAACGCCAGGCGCTCGCCCTCGCCAGGCTCACAAAGCATGGCCTCCCACTCGGCCAGCTCGTCCTTTTGCTCCTGTAAAAGCTGTGGGTAGCAGCGATCCATGAAGTGCTGGCAGAACTTGAGTTCTTTGTCAGTCTTCGCTGCGTGCACTTCAAACAAAGATTTAAGCGAAGGCTTCTGCAAGCTCTGCAAGTACTCGGCTCGATTTTCGAGCAAGGCGATAAACTTTTCCAGCTGTCGCTGCAGCGCCGGCCGAAACGCCAAGCGCTCGCCCTCGCCAGCGTCACAAAGCATGGCCTCCCACTCGGCCAGCTCGTCCTTCTGCTCCTGCGAAAGCTTCGGGTAGCAGCGGCACATGAAGTTTTGGCCGAACTTGAGTTCCTTGTCATTTTTCACGGTGTGTGCTTCAAACAAAGCTTTAAGCGAAGGCTTCTGCAAGCTCTGCAAGTACTCGGCTCGATTTTCGAGCAAGGCGATAAACTTTTCCAGCTGTCGCTGCAGCGCCGGCCGAAACGCCAAGCGCTCGCCCTCGCCAGCGTCACAAAGCATGGCCTCCCACTCGGCCAGCTCGTCCTTCTGCTCCTGCGAAAGCTTCGGGTAGCAGCGGCACATGAAGTTTTGGCCGAACTTGAGTTCCTTGTCATTTTTCACGGTGTGTGCTTCAAACAAAGCTTTAAGCGAAGGCTTCTGCAAGCTCTGCAAGTACTCGGCTCGATTTTCGAGCAAGGCGATAAACTTTTCCAGCTGTCGCTGCAGCGCCGGCCGAAACGCCAAGCGCTCGCCCTCGCCAGCGTCACAAAGCATGGCCTCCCACTCGGCCAGCTCGTCCTTCTGCTCCTGCGAAAGCTTTGGGATGCTGCGGCGCATGAAATTTTGACCGAACTTGAGGTCTCTATCCTTTTTTACTGCGTGCACTTCAAAGCAAGCTTCTAAAGACGGCTTGCGCAGTGACTGAAAAAAATCTGCACGCCGCTCAAGTAAGGCAGTGAACTCGGCAAACTGCGCTGCGTCTGCTGCGTGCTCCGGCGAGACGCACAGCCGAGCCTCCCAGGCCCGGAGCTCGGCCTGCTGGCCATCTGTAAAAGTGTGGCCGTGTCGCTGCACGAAGCGGCGCAAGGCTGCTCGTTCTGGGATGGCCGGCTTGCCTCGCCTAGCTTCGCCCGTGCGTAAAAGCGTTGCAATGTCTGGGCACTGCAGCTGTCGCAGCTCCACGGTGTTGGCGGCCAGGTAAGCCAACAGAACCTGAAAGCGGCCCTCACTTGCATTGCCCTCTTCGCGGTCCATGGCGCGCGCGGCCGGCCGAAATGCCAAGCCGCCCTTAGCCTAGCCGGCGGGTACCAAGAAGTCAGACACTATGGTGAACAAGATCTAACAAATTCTAAAATGTGCTACATGCCTGCTTGTGCTGTTGCGAAGTGATGGTTGGTGTGATGCCTGCTTTTGCTGCTGTGTGTGTGTGGCTGGTGTGAAGCGTGTAAAGGACCCCCTGAGGGGGAGATGGGCCCAACCAAGACTGCTTGCGTCTTGTGACTCTGTATAAAAAACTCAAACACACGTGGGTCTGCTTGACTATCTCGGACACTTAGCGCTGTAGTTGTTGTGTTGCGAATTGTGTGGTGAGTTGTGTGGTGTGCCACATGCTCAAATCACAGAAGTGACTACGTTTGAGCCATGCAAGCCGAAAGAACAGACTATCTTACTATCTATACCTGACTGTCCATCTATGTCTCTATCTATCAAGCTACCTATTTCTCGACCTTGCGAAGGTGCTGCGCCAACCACGAAATCTGAGACCGTTCCGGGACCGTTCCGCACCCGCCTGCGTGAAGGCGTCGCAACCAAGGTGGTTTGCGCACTGTCCGGAAGCCCAATTCACGCACAGAGTGCTGCGCCTGCCACGCAATTCAAACCTTGCGAAACCTTCGCGCGGCCGTGCCAATGGTCCCGTCTCCGCGACCGCTTCTGCATCTTGCTATCCCCTAGCTCGCAGAGAATGGATCCAGCACCTTGCGAAAGTGCTGCGCCTGCCACGAAATCTGCACTCGACCTTGCGAAAGTGCTGCGCCTGCCACGAAATCTATACTTGACCGTGCGAAAGTGCTGCGCCTGCCACGCAACTCAAACCTTGCGAAACCTTCGCGCGGCCGTGCCAATGGGCCCGTCTCCGAACCCGTTCCGGGACCGTTCCAAGACCGTTCCGAGACCGCGTCCGTACAGGCGTCGCGACCGAGGTGGTTTGCGCACTGTCCGGAGCCCAATTCACGCACAGCGCCAGCGTTTCTGCATCTTGCTATCTCCCAGCTCGCAGAGAGTGGACGCAGCACCTTGCGAAAGTGCTGCGCCTGCCACGAAATCTATACTTGACCTTGCGAAAGTGCTGCGCCTGCCACGCAACTCAAACCTTGCGGAACCTTCGCGCGGCCGTGCCAATGGGCCCGTCTCCGAACCCGTTCCGCACCCGTTCCGGGACCGTTCCGAGACCGTTCCGAGACCGCGCGTCGCGACCGAGGTGGTTTGCGCGCCGTCCGGAAGCCCAATTCACGCACAGCGCCAGCGTTTTCTGCATCTTGCCATCCCCCAGCTCGCATAAAGTGGACGCAGCACCTTGCGAAAGTGCTGCGCCTGCCACGAAATCTATACTTGACCTTGCGAAAGTGCTGCGCCTGCCACGAAATCTATACTTGGCCTTGCGAAAGTGCTGCGCCTGCCACGCAATTCAAACCTTGCGAAACCTTCGCGCGGTCGTGCCAATGGTCCCGTCTCCGAGACCGTTCCGAGACCGTTCCGAGACCGTTCCGGGACCGTTCCGAGACCGTTCCGAGACCGCCTCCGTACAGGCATCGCAACCGAGGTGGTTTGCGCACTGTCCGGAAGCCCAATTCACGCATGGCACCAACGTTTCTGCAACTTGCTATCCCCCAGCTCGCAGAAAGTGGACGCAGCACCTTGCGAAAGTGCTGCGCCTGCCACGAAATCTGTACTCGACCTCGCGAAAGTGCTGCGCCTGCCACGAAATCTATACTTGACCTTGCGAAAGTGCTGCACCTGCCACGCAATTCAAACCTAGCGAAACCTTCGCGCGGCCGTGCCAATGGTCCCGTCTCCGAGACCGTTCCGAGACCGTTCCGAGACCGTTCCGGGACCGTTCCGAGACCGCCTCCGTACAGGCGTCGCGACCGAGGTGGTTTGCGCACTGTCCGGAAGCCCAATTCACGCATGGCACCAACGTTTCTGCAACTTGCTATCCCCCAGCTCGCAGAAAGTGGACGCAGCACCTTGCGAAAGTGCTGCGCCTGCCACGAAATCTGTACTCGACCTCGCGAAAGTGCTGCGCCTGCCACGAAATCTATACTTGACCTTGCGAAAGTGCTGCACCTGCCACGCAATTCAAACCTAGCGAAACCTTCGCGCGGCCGTGCCAATGGTCCCGTCTCCGAGACCGTTCCGAGACCGTTCCGAGACCGTTCCGGGACCGTTCCGAGACCGCCTCCGTACAGGCGTCGCGACCGAGGTGGTTTGCGCACTGTCCGGAAGCCCAATTCACGCATGGCACCAACGTTTCTGCAACTTGCTATCCCCCAGCTCGCAGAAAGTGGACGCAGCACCTTGCGAAAGTGCTGCGCCTGCCACGAAATCTGTACTCGACCTCGCGAAAGTGCTGCGCCTGCCACGAAATCTATACTTGACCTTGCGAAAGTGCTGCACCTGCCACGCAATTCAAACCTAGCGAAACCTTCGCGCGGCCGTGCCAATGGTCCCGTCTCCGAGACCGTTCCGAGACCGTTCCGAGACCGTTCCGGGACCGTTCCGAGACCGCCTCCGTACAGGCGTCGCGACCGAGGTGGTTTGCGCACTGTCCGGAAGCCCAATTCACGCATGGCACCAACGTTTCTGCAACTTGCTATCCCCCAGCTCTCCTGATTTCAGCTTTTCTCGTAGCTTTTTTCGCGCACATCCATGTATCTTAAAGCTATCTATCTGTCAAGCTGGTTATATGTCAAAGCTATCTATCTGTCATGCTAGTCTTTGGAAAGCTATCTATGTGTTAAGCTGGCTATATGTCAAAGCTATCTATCTGTCATGCTGGCCTATTGGAAAGCTTTCTATCTGTCAAGCTAGCTATATGTCAAAGCTATCTATTTGTCATGCTAGCTACCTGTCATAGCTATATGTCAAAGCAGCTAGCTCATTTAGTTCCAGTACTACGGAAGTTTCTTGTTAAACTTCCTTTGATCACGGGAATGGCTGGGTACCGCATTTTCTCAACATGACAAGCAAGCGTCAGGGTGAGGAGTTGAGGCAGACTAGCCAGGAAATGCAACACATCTTTTCATTGCATGGGTACAGAGGAGATTGAGCGACCTTATGCGGCTTGACAGCAGGGCAGTGGGTGGTTTCTGGGGAAGTTCTGGGCAACGTATCTAAAGGGTGTCGCAAATCTTGAGTTCCCCCCTGGTACCATCCCCAGAGAGTTCACATATTACAAGGCTCGACTTGCCTTTCTAACCAGCAACAAGTCAACTTTTTGGGGGAAGAACTCTGGCCCTCTATTTGCATCAAGGAATACTCCCCAAGGAGTATTACCATTGATCGAGTTGGCTCTCTGGCGGGCACTTCTGCTCGGTACTCAGAAACACGTCGACATGGAATCGGAAGGCTTTGAACAAGGGACTTCCAACTTGGCACATTTTGATTTGGCGGTTGGCGGACTAAGAGTGGGCAAACCCCGACTCCCCTCCTTGGCTTGGGAAACGAAGCTGAGTCGCAAACACTCTTTCAACTATTGCTGGCGCATGGGGCAAGAGTTCCCCAATGTGACTTGTCCGGTCACTTGTCCTTTCTTCAGGGTCCCATTGTGGATTCGTCGTTTGGAGCAGTTTTACGTGTTTGGTCTACCGGACACGTTTTCCACATGCCAGAAGCCGAAGGGTTGAAATCCTTGGATCTTCTCAGTCGAGTGCGCTTCCTGGGATAATACCTCTTGATTTCCTTAAAGTATTATCATGTTCAGTACTCCTGGCTTGACTCCAATATCCTAAAGGGATTACAAAAGCCACATTCAAGTCATTTTTCCAGAAATCCCCCTGAGCAGTTTTAGAAGTCCCACGGGGATTTTCCGGATTGGATTTACAGACTCCCGTGCATCTGCAAAGGTACCCTTGGGGAATTCCCTTTGACAACGTCGGTACGGGAACCCCAAAGCATCACAATGGAAGCGTCGTTTGATTCGGGACCCCAAAACTGAAAGGTCTAAGGTTTCCTTTCGGTTTCCCTTAGCCATCGCACAAGGATTCAAACACCACAACCCAAATGGCTGTGGGTCAAGACCAATCGTACCATTTTGGGCACCCATTTTAGTCCATTTTAGTGGGGGTTGGGATGTTCACTGGGGGTACGATTTGGGTTTTGACCCACAGCCAAATGGATGTTTCCATGAACCAAGGCCTGAGTTGCCGGAAGTGGAGTACTCCCGGCGCTGTGCGCAGAGAGCCTTGGCCAGCAAGAGGCGCGCTCCGGCTCTCCGGGTTTCGTTTCGCTCCAAAAAAAAAGCTCAGCACATCGACGATTGGGGGTCAGAACATTCCCATGGCTTCCCTCATGGCATGGGCCACAATGAAACCACCAGGGAAGCGCAGGGTTTAGTCCAGGTTTTAGTCCAGGGAACCGCAGGTTCCATGTACCAGGGCTATTTTAAAACCCACAGCCATATTGGAGAGAGGCTGGGCTCTCTTTCACAGGATTTGACGCGAGGTTCACGTCACCGTGGGAACGCGTGGCGTTTCTCGCCGCTGCACTGCATGTGAAGGCTGCTTGGATGACCTCCAAGCAAGTCTCTGTTTTTTGGGTGTTCTTTGAGAGCCCCAAAAAGAGACACACCCATTTCCGGAAAACTTGTCATGGTGGTTGGAAGAGTAGAGCTATCAGGCGCCTTCTTGCGGCACGGATGCGGACACTCGAACCGGGGGGCGCCATCAAGCAGCCGCTCTTGTAGACCTGGACACTTCACTTTGCAAAAACAACACTCCTGGAAACACCGGGCGTTCTTAAAGGATACATGGACGTCGGCCAAGTCAAAAACCCACCTGTACAAGCTGTTTCAAAGGGTGTCTACGTGTACCAACGGTTTATGCGTATCGTTTCAGGCCCCCAACATGGAAGAGTGCTGTCGCTTTTTTTTCCAGTGAGGGCTTGCCTGCAGGGGTGTTGTGACTTCTTTCGGGTTTGAGGATTTGTTGATTGCTCTCAACTTGGATGGATGGCTGGCCGGGGGCCTGATGGACGGATGGATGGATGGATGGATGGTTGGCTGGCTGGCTGGCTGGCTGGCTGGATGGATGGAAACTCCGACGTTTGGACAAGATTGAGAGCCCATTGTTTTTGTCTTCCTTCGTTTGAAGGTCAATCGGAGGTTTATTAAGGTTGGGCTTGGCCACGAAAACAGGGCAGAGAACCAATATCTTTGTTCCAAGGCCCTGTGAGAGGATAGCTCTGGAAGAACCAGCTGAAGGACCAGGGCATGTTCGATCCTTTGCCGCAGGATCTCTGCAGTGAAGGTGGCCAATGACAGAGTGGTGTTTGAAAAGGCCTGGCAAAAGAGGGGCGGGGTGCAGGGCGGAAGTTGTGAAGCTCGGGATGCAGATTTTTCTCCTGGCAGAACTTTGTGGAAGGGAAGAAGCCAAAGAGCCGTGCCAAATAGGATTAGACCTGGTTCTTTTTCTGGCGATCCTGACATCTCCTGGTGGGTGCACTGGCGTTAGCAGGGTTGTGTCTTGGAAAGATGTGACTACTGTTTCATGGTGTTTCCCCAAGCGGAACGCCGAAGCACGTGCTTCAGATGGTCGCAATCGGTGGACATGGCTGGCCTGGGCCGAGGGCCATAAAACGCGGCGTTTCTTCGGAGTACCAAAAGCAGGGCTGCGCGGTTCCGTTCAGCTGCCGCCGAACACTCCTTTCAAGTGTTTAAAAGCAGCTGAGGAGCTGTTGGAGATTTGGGTTTGGCTTTGGCTACCGGGGTCCTTGACAATTGGAAGATTCCCTGTCGTTTGGGTCACCAGCTTCTGTCTCCCAGTCCCGCAAAAAGGACCGGCAGCTTGAGAGTGGTGCAGACCAAGCAGATGCACACGACAAGTCGAGGGTTTTCACCTTGCTTGAAAGGACACTAGCATATCACGAACCAGAACTCCTGGCTCCTCCAAAGGCCCTCTTTAAAGGCAAACTTGGATACCCCCCACTCTGAGTCTGGCTCCCTTCCAACCACTAGGAATGCCAGGAATGCCACCCCAACTCACTTCCTGGAGTCTCCATGACCCTGCAAAAATGTGTCCATGACCCCACTACCCCGTTTCGCCAGGTGCAGCCGAAGCGCTTCGCCAAGCTGATGACGGGCAGAAAGGTGAAGCGGTGCAGGCGGGGCCCATCGGCGATGGGCCCGTATATAGAAATAGAAATATATATATATATATATATATATTATTTTCTTGTGACCATGACGCCAATGTCAATGATTCGGGGGGTTTTGTATTAGATCAGGTGCTCAACTGCGATTTGCAACCAGTGCATTTGGATTTGTGGGAGACCAACGCCACACAAGGATAGAGACCCTTGGATTGGGTTAACATGCAGAGTGTTCAACTTGAGCGCCCCCTGGTCCATTTCCCGTTGGCCTATTGGCTATGCGGTGTCCAGGTGCTTGGGGCATTTTTGCGAGGCTTGTTCTGGATGCGTCCCAGACACCCAGTCATTTATGTCTGTTTGAGGCTTCACATTTTGCCCGGTTCTGGTTTACGAAGTGCTTTTCGATCTGTACCTGTGGAGAAGGTACCTGGCTTGTCTTTGTTCCCATTGCATGCGACGCCCCCTAAAAAAGACAAGAAACCCGTATACAAATCAGCCTCCCACAAGCTGCCGGCTTGGATCGAATAAGGACACGCGGAAAACCTAACCACCGATTCGGCTCCAAACCACCCGGAGAGCTGAATAAATCGTAGCCTTTGCACTTGGGTCTTGGTTTTTCCGGGAAATCCCAAGGAAAGCAACCAGCACCCAAGGGGGGTCCATTACCTCCTGAAGTGCCCTTGAGCCATTTTGGGTATATCAATTCACAGCACTGCGGTGCCGGAAATGGCTTTTTTCGTTCGGCCCCCCAAGTTTCACACGTCGTACAAGCTTCCCTTGGCCATGGACCAATTGAGGCGCTGGGGCAAGCAGCTCTGGTTCGAAATGGACAAAGGGCCTGGAGCTCAAGCGAGAGCGGAAGGCAACAATCTGAGAGGGCCCCAAAGGTTGACAACAAACCCACATGAAGCGAACCTGAATCCCGCCCAAAGGGATCCCAGACTGAAGGTCTAACTTTAATCACGCAGCTTGCTGACTTGGGCGTGTTTGTGTTTGGCGGTGCTCTCCAGATCGATATGGAACCCTCTCTGTTTGGCTTCAATTTGTCGGGGAGTGGCCTTTTCCGTCTTAAAGAGAACCCCAAAAAACGAAGCCACCCGTTTTGGGATTTCCATTCCACACCCAAGCATTTCACAGGGGACCGGTGTTTTTTTTTCGGGATCAGCTCAACATACCCGATCCAATGTTAGGGTTTCCTTTGTGAAAGATGGCGTTTCCTTGGGCCAAGGCGCCTTGTTTTGGGGGTGAGCAAACTATGCCACCAGAAGCGGCTTTTGTGCTGCTTTGAAAGCTCATATGGCCATGGGTCAAACCCCCGTACTTTCAGTTGAACATCCCAATTCCCACTAAAATAGACTAAAATGGGTGGTGCACCTATCCCAAAATGGTACCATTGGTTTTGAACCGTGGCCATAATTGACCTCCAAAACCGCCACCAAAGCCGGGCGCCCCGCCCTGTACTATTGGACTCCCTCAATGCAGGTAGGGGGTCCGAACTCAGCGGATTTGCAACAGCCCACGACTCTGCTTGGGGCTCTTTTGACATGGTGTTGCAAATTGTGTTCGCTGAGTAAGGCCAGATCTGCAAATGACTCATTTTCATTGACCAAAACTGAGGGAGAAAAAGTGTAAGTGGCAGACGACATGGATGGGATTCCGCTTGCCCGAGCACTTTTTACCAGACGTTGGGAAGGAAGACCTGTCCAGCATGTTACATTTTCAGGTTCCATGAGTATGGACCATTATCAGATATGGGGGGTGTCTTTTTCGAGGGACCGTGTTTGGATGGTTTAAGGGAACCCCAAACATCCGAAAGAAACCACTTATTGGTGGGGTTCCCCCTATTTTGAGACAAACCCATAAAGTATGTTGGGTTGGGCCAAAGGTTAGCAAAGTGATCCTAGGATAGGGCTGGTTTCTGAGCAATCGTCAAAGTGATGTGGCCTACCGTTCGAGGACCAGAAGGGCGGGCGCCATCCAAATGTCACCAACTGGGGGCGCTCCAAGCGTTTTTCCAGTGAGCCTGTAGCTCGTGCAGAGGCCATGCCCGACCTTGCACTTGGGTATGCCGGCGCCTGAGTCTGGCTGCGACTCCGAGATGGGAAAATCGGCATTCGCGTTCCCAGAGCTGGGTATCCCAGATCTGTCCTTGCGGTTTCTACTGTGAAACTTTGTTTTTGTCCTCTTTGCAAAAAGGGAAAGCAAACAACATTGTTTCTACTTCTCTTTCATTCCTGTTTTGTTGCTTCTTGGGAATTGGTAGAAAGGCACGGGTTCTTTTTCATTTGTTTCCGCTTCACAAAGGGGCAGCAGGCATTGTACTTAGTCCTTGCTGGTTTCTCTCATTATTTCTTCCATTGCTTACGAAAGGAAGGAAATGGAAGTGAACAAAAGCACTCGTCATTCTGATCTTTCCTTCTCGCGTGGCTTTTTGTAGCAAGAAAGGCTGAGCAATGCCAATTCCCCTATGCAACAATTCATTGTATATTCTGCCGATGCAGAGGTAGCAAAAATAACAACTTCCCTCCTTCGTTCAAGCTCTTGTTTGCCTTTGCAAAAAGATGCGCAGCACCGTAGAATACGGTCTTTCTTCCGTTTTGAGGCTAGACAAGGGTAGATCAGTCTTTCATGTTCGCTTCCGCGTGGTGTTTTTCAACAGAGGCAGAAAAGACGAAACTTCCCTGCCTTTGCTGTTTTCACCTACCGCTACTCTTTGGAACAGGAGAATGATAAAGACCATGCTAGTGGTATCCCAAAGGCAGCAATGCTCTTCAAGTGAGATGCCTCCCAAGCAACCACCGTTTTTGTTTTTTGTGTTTTCTTTGGCCCCCAGGTTCTGGATTTGTCTATAGGTTGTACTTCCTTCCCCCTTACAGTGGAACACTCACCCAAGTGCGAGATTCTTTGTGTGCACACGAGGGGATCGGATCTGGGACCCGTGCAACTCATGGCAAGGAGATCGGCACCCTTTTGAAGTATAGCATAACGGCAATGGGTGAGTCTTTTTGTTGAGGACACCCCTGGTTTGGTGCTGGTAAATTTAAAGAGGAACAAACCGTTTGGGGCGAGGGCCCTAAAACCGTGTGGGCATGCCCACTGGCCGGTGTATTTTCTGCACAAGGGATCAATTGATCTGGCTACTTTATTGATCCAGGAATCGAGAAAGCCCATGCTCAAAACACCCCCATCCCCAATTTGTAGGGAACCCGCTTGTATAATATGCTCTATTATATTAAACGGATTCTGGCTTGCACTAGTCATGTGTGTAGCATCCCGGAGGCTGTTGGAACCCATACCAGGTCACCAAAAGCTCATTTCGTCTCAGGACAGGCAGCGTCCACATCAAAGGCAAGCGTGGGCTGAAGTATGTTCGACTCAAGGAGGAGCCGCCTGCGGGTGGTACTAGGGGGGGATGGACAAAACCATCCTTTAGTGTTCATCACTCTTCATGACATGCCCTTTAGTTGTTTGGCTTGGTTTGTGTCTTGTGCTTGATACGTTTTGGGGTTTGTGATGTTGTTGTTTGATGTGCTTTGTTTCTGTGTGGTTTATGCTTTTTGTTTGTGCGATGCGCGAAAACACAAGTTGGTGCTAGACAAAGTGTAAGGACATTTCGGTGACTGCCCTTGAAAGGAGAAGAGCAAGATAACACCCAAAGAGGTTTGCGTTCAATAATATAGCTGTTTTCAAGTTGATTCTTCTTGGATAGGCAGGGGCATTAGGGTTCATAGTTCCCAGACATGTTCTCAGAACCCTTTCAAGAACCGCTTCTAAGAAGCTTTCCTTTCCGGAGGTTGGGGGGGCGCTTTGGTGTTTTTTCAATTGGCGGTGTGCCAAAGTTGTCAATCACAAAGGTGGAGCGTTTGCTGCCTTTGACTGATCTTTCGGGCGAACAAAAACCAGAGTTTGCTCTTGGAGTGGGAACCCAGCTCAACCCGGCTAGAAGCGGAAGGCTCCGCATTTCGAGGGAATCCGAAGATTCCTCCGTGTTCATCCGGGCTCAGAGGAAACTGAAGGCCCACCTGCGAGGGGGTAGAGATCAGGCCCCGGATGTCTATAGAGAATCAATGAGTCAAAAGGGTGTAGAACCGGCGAGCAGCCGTTGATGCCCAAAGGTTGCTTTTTATTCATTGTTGGGTGTGTTTGTTGGTTTTCTTTGGGTTGTTTGGTTCTGTTCCTTCTGATTGTGTGGCTGCAAAAGATAAAGTTTCCATCCAGGGTTGGCAAGCTTTGCCCTGCCTGTTGGTCGCATGATCCTTGTCAGTGACAGAGTCATGTTGACCCCGCTCAAACATAGACAGTACATGTTGGGTGGATGGTGGCATAAACCCCTATGTAAATGATGAAGTTGATCCAGGGAATCGAGAACAAACCAACAGCAAAACTGCTTGACGAATCGGGGGTGTCCCAGTTTAGAGGGAGTTTCTCACTTTTTGAGGGGAAAGACCCCAACTATTCGATTTCCATGGACCCTTTCGAGGCGTCGGCCGTGAGCCCATTGCAGGAGGATCCCAACACTTGGCCTCCGAGATTCTGCAAGGCGTGGTTTTTCCTTCGAGGTCCTTGCTGAATGTTGACTTCGGATGAGTCCGGAGAATCATACAACTCAGAGAACCCGCCAAAATAGATGATTCCCTTACTGGAGAGGGAACCCTGCCTGATCAGTATAGTCCTTCAGATCAATTGAAAGGTTCACAAATTACCGCGGCTTTTGGGTTAACCCGGAGTAGTGGACATACCGTTCAAAAGCTGTGGGGGAAACGCTTGGGGTTGTCCAAAAGGGGCATGGGTGCATACCCCAAAAAACCAGCCTGTGGCTTCTTGGAGAAAGCCCATCTGGGTTGGGCGCTTTCCGTGGAGCAGGGATTTGACCCGAACGTCGCTTGCTTCTCAGCGAAGGGAATGACTCTGTGAACCATCTCTCTTGTTGTTTCCTTTTTGTGACCCTTCCTCTTTGTTGTGCATACCCCAAAAACCAGCCTGTGGCTTCTTGGTGAAGAATGCCCATCTGGTTTGTGAGTCCCCTTCCTTTTGGTTCACTCCCAAGACTAGGGGAATGTCCATCGCAAGCTCTTGAGGCTCAAGACCCGTTTTGGGCTCGGGTCCCAGGCCTGCGGTGCCTGCGGTTTCTTGCCTTCGTGTTGTTGGCTTCGCCTCAAAGCGGGGCTGGTCTCCAAATGGGAAACCCGGAAACTCACCAGTCCCTAATTTGGAGCAACGCCCAAATGCAGGGGTCCATTTTTCTCTAAGCCTACTAAGCTAGACGCAGATACCCATGGGTTCTCCTTGTGAGTGACTCAACCACACCTGGGTTAAAGCGGCTAAAACCCTGCCCCAAACGTGGCCAGTTGGAGCTACAGATGAGTGACGGCACCTGCTTCGCCATGAGCGACCCCCGCCGCTTCGGACGCATCAGGCGACGAAAACGAAATCGCGAATCGGCGTTGGGCCACAGGGATCCAGCGATGTCCACGTGTTGATTTGCAAGTTGAGATCACTTTTCTGGACATTCTGGACAGTTGGGTTGTAAGTTGCCATTTTCTTGTACATCACCCTCTTGGGTGTTTGAATTAAACATTGCCCTTTTGTCGTTCTTTGGTGTAGGGATCTGGGGTCTGACAAAATATGAAACCGAATCTGAACATTTGTTTTACATAATTTTCCCCAGAGTTTGTGCTATATCTATATATATATTATATGTATGTAAGTTGTTGGCTGGTTTAAGTAAACGTTGCTTTGTGTCATTGATTTGGTGAGTCGAGCTGGTGGACAAGGGCCCGCAGTTGGCAGATGGTTTCCAATATGTCATATGGGTATGGGTCAAATATTGAGCCACCAGGATTTGGACCGCAAATTTTGGTCCTTGGTTCCATTTACCAGGGCAACCCATTCAGGGTACCAATTTTTGACCAGCCATATGGCCGCAAACCAGTTGGCAGATGGTTTCCATTCCTTTATAGGGTTCCATTCATGACTGGTGCGTAACGGATGTTGTCGGTCCACTGTCAATCCGCCAGTAGCAATAGGATGTGATCATAGCGTTTTTGGCATACCTTTCGGACCATATAGTTGGAGAGAGACTCCCAAAAAAAGCAGGGTCTCTACACTTCCTGGAAGGTCCCTTCGTGTTTTTGCAAGGGGCAAAGGCAAGCCCTGGTTTAGGTTTCAATTCTTCTGCAAAGAAGTCGATTCCCGAAGTGGCAAAGTGGTCATAGGGATGCCCCTTCGGCTGGTTTACACATCGCGTTTTGTTGGTCGGTGTGGTCCTGCTGGGGAAGCGGCGCTTGGGATAACTTTGACCGTGCAGCATGGGTTCGGAAAATTGGGTTGAAGTCCACTTTCCATGATACCGAGGGGATCCCCTCTAATGTGCGCAAGTGGTCATGGGCATCTACCACTTCGGTGTCACAAATGTCGGGTTATTTTCCTCCACGACCCAGGAGTTCCTATAGTCATGTCCCTTTTCAGCCCATGGAAACATCACCTTTTTGAAATCAGCTGTCCCCTGATTGACGAGTTTCCTCGTTTAATGTTTCAGGGGAAACCACACATTGAGCTAGCTTTCGCATCCTGAGCCCAAAAGGGTCCGCATTGTACCTCATGTTTGCTTTTGGTTGTGTGTTGTTTTGTTGTTTGTTTTGTTGTTTTTGTTTTGTTATGTTTTTTTTTTTGGTTGGAATTCCCCTGAAGCAAGCCCAAACTGTACATCTGGGTTACCTAAGAAACCCATTGGAGATGAATCGTGCCCAACACTAGACTCGCGCAGCATGCCCGAACGCAAAGGGAAGTGTTGTGCCCCTCTTTTCAGGTAACCCTTAGTTGGTGGTTTGGATTGTTGGTTTGAACCCCTGGTTTTTGTAGAATCGACCCCTCACCAAACCACCAATCCAAGCCACCAATCACAGGGAACCTGATACGTCTTATCTTGCGACCTCCAAGAAAACACGAGACTTTGTTCCAAGCGTTGAGTGGGGCAGGCAGGAAACAGGGATGAATTCAATTCCGCCGGTAATGCCCCCCAATTTCAGCGGCTCACAACAAACATCCTTGGCCACTTCCGACGTAACGCTACACGGAGGGTTGTTTTTTTGGATTAAACCCGTTCAATTTCTTTCTGGCCACGCATGGAGCTCCTGAAGAGCGAAGACGTGACTTGCTGACTTGCTCCAGTCTCTTTGCAACAGATCCCGGATCATGTTGCACGGTGGACCAATCTTGCGGGGATGAGGGCCAAGCATTACGTAAGCAGCCCACCTATTGCGAGCTCACCCATGAAGGTTGTTATTTTATGTGTTTTACATATTTTCCCGAACGGGTTGCTGCAGGAGCCCTGAATAGAGGGTGTCCTTTTGGATCAGTTCGGTTGGTTTTAGTTAATCTTTGCTCTTGATTAATAGGGGGGCCCCCCCCGGTCCCCCCCCCCCCCCCTACAACAAGCCTGGGTCCAAATTGTGGGGGGGTGGAAGGGGGGAGGGGGGGATGGGAAGGCAGAGAGACAAGAAAGAAGAAAAGTGAAGGGCAATTTAAAATTAAATTGAAGGTGCAGTTTTTTTGTGGAATTCTGGTTTGTAGATGGCATTTATTCTGAGGGGGTTTTATTATTGTAGGGGGTAGTGTAGGCCTGGCAGCTGGTTTGTGTTGCTAACCATTAATGTGAGGGGTGTTATTATTGTAGGGGTGGTGTTTCTTGTGTGCAAGGTGCTGGGCTGAAGCAGTGCAAGCACTGGAGCAGGCAATGGGTGCAGCCATGGAGCAAGACTTGTAGCAAGCAGCAGCTGTAGAACAGAAGCAAAAGTGCGTGGTGTAGCTACAGGGCCAGCTGTGGAGCTGTTGTAGCCATGGCTGAAGACGATGGAGCTGAAGATGTGGAGGCCAGCTGGGTGGGAGCCGGGCTGCAGCAAGCAGGGTAGGGCTTTTGGAGATGTTAGGTGAAGGGCTTGTAGACAAGTTTGCAGTTGTGCGCTGCAGCCTTTTTGTGCAGCTTTTGCAGGTGCTGTAGCAAGTTCAGTGCAGAGCCATGATCGCTCTCCTTGCAGCCTTGTTGGGTGCAGCCTGTGGTGCAGTTGGAGTCGGCATGCAGATGAGGAAGGAGGTGCAGGACTTGAAGAAGCAGCTGCAGGCCATCGCAGCACCAATGGAGTCATTGGAGATGCTGTGCCAGGAGTTGAAGGCGCAGCAGGGCTCAATGGAGACTGCGTGCAAAGCCATGGAGCTGCGGCAGGATTGCACTGCAGGCCTTGTGGCCGATGCAGCCAGGCACATGCAGCGCGCGATGCAGGAGTGGAGCAGAAGCCAGAATGCTATCTGGCTGCAGCGCCAGCTCAGGCCCATCCTGGAGGGCTGGTGCAGAGCCTGCAGGGTCTGCAGGGAGGATGCGCAGGTGGGCTGGAAGTTGCTTTGCAGCGAAGTGTGGTGCAGGGCGCTGCGCGATGCCTGGGCCTCTTCCTTGGAGGGCGATGCAGAGGCGGTGCAGGAAGCGGTGGACACACTGAACAATATGAGGCTCTGCAGGTGGGCAGGCTGGAGGCCTCAGACGGTGCTGCCGGTGCTCCTGCAGGAAGCAAACCAGCACTTGCAGGAGCCTGCAGGTGGAGTCATCTGGGTCTTGAGTGACCAGATCCTGGAGCGCATGCAGGAGTTGAGGTCCTTGGCGGGCAGCATGCAGGAGCAGCAGATCTCGGCTCCGCAGGTTCCAAATGTAGGACTGCAGGAAGCGCTGGCTCTTCAGGTTTAGCTGCAGACAGGTGTAGCTGCGGACTAGGCTTTTTGTAGATTTTTTGCAGCCATTGGAGGCCGACTTGGAGACTTGCAAGGAAAAATGAGCACTGTGTGAACAACCTCGGCATGAAGGATCTAAAGTTGGCCATGTGTAGGTGTGAATTGGTGCAGCCCTGCATGGATGAAGCCTTGCCTGTTTTCAGTGGTGTAGCATTTGTTTTTAGTGGTGTAGCGTTTGAGCTAGGATTAAAGAGTTTGACTGGAGCCATTGTAGGTAGACCACTTCTTGGCATGAAGGGTTTTAGATTTGAGGGTTTGCTTGAGATACTGTAGCTTGCTTGGAGGGCTTGGCTGTCTGAAGGGTTCTGGCCATGCAGGTGGAAGATGTTGAAGATCGTGCAGCTGGCGAGCTTCCTGCTGGTGCAGAGGCTCAGGCCTGCTGAAGGGCTGGGCTGTGTGTGTGGCAGGTGGTTGTAGGTGTGAAGAGTTTGCCAGACAATGTAGGTAAAACATTTTTTGGCTGAAGGGCTGTAGATTTGCAGAACTGTAGGGTTGTAGCTTTGATGGTTTGCTGGAGGAGCTGCAGGTAGGACACATCAAGGGTGATAGGATTGAAGGGTTTAAAGGGCTGTAGGCTTCAAGGGGTTGGTTGGGGACAATGTAGACTTGACACATGTAGTAGGTGGAACATGTTTGAAGGAGTGTAGATTTGAAGAGTTTTGCTTGAGACACTGTAGTTTGCATGGAGTTGTCTGTCTGAAGGGTCCTGGCCATGCAGGTGGAAGATGCTGAAGATCATGCAGCTGGTGAATTGCCTGCAGAGGCTGAGGCCTGCTGAAGGGCTGGCCAGCTGTAGATTTGAGGGGTGCTGCTTGGCATTGTAGGGTTGTAGCTTTGATGGTTTGCTGGAGGAACTGTAGGTAGGACACATCAAGGGTGATAGGATTGAAGGGTTTAAAGGGCTGTAGGTTTGAAGGTTTTACTTGAGACATTGTAGTTTGCATGGAGGGCTGTGGGTGTGAAGGCTTCTTGCCATGCAGGCTGGTGAAGAACTGGAGGCCCAAGATGTGGAGGAGGAAGTGTCTGTAGAGGTGCTGGCTTGCAAGGGGCACAAGGGGCTGTAGGCTTCAAGGGGTTGGTTGGGGACAATGTAGACTTGACACATGTAGTAGGTGGAACATGTTTGAAGGAGTGTAGATTTGAAGAGTTTTGCTTGAGACACTGTAGATTTGAAGAGTTTTGCTTGAGACACTGTAGTTTGCATGGAGTTGTCTGTCTGAAATGTCCTGGCCATGCAGGTGGAAGATGCTGAAGATCATGCAGCTGGTGAATTGCCTGCAGAGGCTGAGCCTGCTGAAGGGCTGGCCAGCTGTAGATTTGAGGGGTGCTGCTTGGCATTGTAGGGTTGTAGCTTTGATGGTTTGCTGGAGGAACTGTAGGTAGGACACATCAAGGGTGATAGGATTGAAGGGTTTAAAGGGCTGTAGGTTTGAAGGTTTTGCTTGAGACATTGTAGTTTGCATGGAGGGCTGTGGGTGTGAAGGCTTCTTGCCATGCAGGCTGGTGAAGAACTGGAGGCCCAAGATGTGGAGGAGGAAGTGTCTGTAGAGGTGCTGGCTTGCAAGGGGCACAAGGGGCTGTAGGCTTCAAGGGGTTGGTTGGGGACAATGTAGACTTGACACATGTAGTAGGTGGAAC